GTATCACAGGACAGGAATTCTGTGATGTCAGCTGATTTGTGCCGTTTCTCACCTGTGGCAGCCCCGTAACCACCAGCTGTTTCTGAAACGGACGATGATCACTGTCAAGCTGTTTCAACCCATTGAAATGCAATTCGCACTTCCTTTCACCTCCGCAAAGACGCTGTTTTTCTGTTTAGTTGGCGCCAATTACGCGGAGAGTGGCGGGTGGTTTGGGCTGCACCTGCTGATAGGCACGGATGCGGTGACGTTCTTCCTTGGCCAAAGCCGACGGAGGAAGCGGTCTTCTACTGCCGGGTCCGGCTGGATTACCATTGGTCACGCACCCCGACCGACAGACGGTGACACACCGCCAACTTTTTCCACTGTATAAATGGAGATAAAAAGAACACCCGTGATCTTCCCATGACTGTATGTGTCCTTGTGCGTTTCCTGCCAGATTTAGCATGTCCTGTGCGCGCTTGAGACACGCAAACGGGGTGAGTGGTACGAGGTATAGCTGGGGCTGTAATGAGAAAATAACGCTCCGTATTTGGCGTGGTAGGCGGGGCGTAATAATATGAAGCGGTGCGATTTGAACGAACGCTACCAGAACTATGTCTAGATCTGGGTTCTTGCAGTTTTTCATTTGGAAGTAAGGATGCATCTCATTTTTACGGTCAATGAAAGATGTTTTTTTTGGAAATATCGGCCACTTGCTCCTGCCATAACCACTGCCAGATACAGACGAGTCTTACGCAGATAAAGCCAACAGCCCGCACCCATGCCTGTTACATAATCAGATCGGAAACGTCACGAGCAGGACCGTCCAGTCCAAAACGAGCTAGTACATGACACTGTTATATAGCTCAGCGCAGCGTATCACGGTTCAGCTCAGCATGAAACAAACAACACGCCGCAATACGGGTAAATGATGTATGGCAATGAGTAACGCTTTAATCGCTTGGGCCATTTTTGACCAGCATAATACATTCAGTACAGATGACGAAGAGCAGAACACACGATAGAACAGGTTAGTGAACAGACAGAGTGCAATAAGAACAGAACAGGAGACAAGCCAGAGGGCTGCAGAGTGGACAGGGCAGAGGACAGAATAGCGGACAGGTAATGGGCAGAAGGACATGGAATAGGAAGCAGGGCAGAGGGAGGACGAAACAGCACAAAGGACATCGGGTACGTGCTGGACAGGGCAGACCAAAGCAAGACAGAGAAGAAAAGGATTGGACAGAGAACAGGCTAAGATACGGGTCGGACAGAACAAAGGAGCAAGGACAGTGCAGGGCGGAGGTGAGGGCGTGATAGATGACATGGCAGGACAAGACTCGCGGGCAGAAGGCAGGCAGAGGACTTTTGGACTAATGAGGACAGGAAAACCAGTCGAAGACAATGCCACACCTATTCAATCGCATTCTTCTCTCTTCTGTTCTGCCTGAGCTACCTCGTCATGCTCTATCCCGTGTCCAACGGGACGGGACGGGACGGGACGGGGCGGGGCGGGGCGGGGCGGGGCGGGGCAGTGAAAGGGGGGGGGGGTCACCGCAGGGCAGGGTAGGATCCGTGTTGCCCGCTCGCTTCCGTTCACCTACAGTGTCACCTGTTCTCCACCCTTTGTCCTTAATGCTGCCGTCGAACTGTGCATTTTTACAGCCAAGAAACCATCAGTGTTATTGTACAGTCGTGTCTCGTATCGAGGCTGCTGGGAGGCTGCTATGATCACGTGGTATAGCCCGTATGGTTAAGGCCCTCCTCATGCGGAGATCAGCTGGTCGGCGGAGATTGCGGGGATGTCAGGAAGTGAGGTCGCCGAAGGTTCGAGAATTATGGGTCACGTCGGGGTCGTGTAGCTACCACGCGGCGATTCTGATCTGGGAGCCGGACGAGGTGGCTGATGTCTGTGTGGTGTAGTGCATGGCGGGAACCTGCGTGGCGTTATACTTGAATTGGTGACCTCGGGCGAATAAGATGAGTCGGAGGCTAATATTACGTAAATACAGGTTGTGAGCAAAACGAACTTTAGCTGAAATAGAGAATAAGCTTCAGCTACCAGACATAAAGATTCAGGAGAAAAAGAAAACTGATTATCACCAAAGCTAAGCTTGAAGATGTGACAACGTGAAATCCACATGTCATGGCCAGTTCGTGGGTGACCATAACCATGCAGTGCATCTGGACGATCGTAACCGGCGGATCAAAGCTTTATATATTTTATGCGTGACAAAAAAGCTCCTTCCATCGCAGGAGGAATAAACAAATTATCAGATTTATGTTACGTGCTTTCGACCATTACTCCATATTACGACCATATTGTGGCCCAGTTTTCCATGTGGGTTTCGCTGCGAAGCAGGGTCAATAAGCGAGAAAGTACGGAAGAGAACTTTACAAATCCTGTTTTGGTCGTGTTACACTGAAAGCTACATTCACGTGGTACAATGACTGGGCATGAAAATACTCGCGACAGAACAGAAAAAGTATGCCTAAGGTTAAAAAGGATTTGTGCATAAAGGAAAAGGACTTCCAAAGCAACGGTTGGCGATCTCAGGCAGAAATAACCAGTGTGCAGAAAAAAACACACTTGAGGTTTTGATGCAGTGTGCAACTACGAAAATTAAGCATTCCGTATGTAACCAATCCTATAAGCACAGACCCTTTATCATCTGGGTGGCCCGATAGTTTGGAGGATCTTACGAGCGCAAAATGTTCACTACATGGATCTGTATACGCACCTGGCGAATTTTCATCCGAGTACGTTGCATCAATGAGCTGTGTAACCTGATGCTCCGAGTCGCGTTCTTTTAAATGAACCGCGCTCTCTTGCGCTCTCTCTTTCTCTCCCTCTCTCTCTCTCTCTCTCATCCGATTTGTAATGGCATACGTGATTTATAGCGTCAGTGACGTGACCAGGTCGCACGTGCGTTATAGTAGCGACATCAGATCCCTACCTGACAGCAGTTAAGGCGCTAATTAGGACCCGCTTGGAGTCCGCACGTCGTCTTCGTCTTTAAAAGACACGATGACCGCGGCTGGCAACCACTCTGTCTTAGTTATCACTTTGAAGTTCGTGGAATGGTGCACAGCCCGAACGTCCCCAGGCAAGAATGCTCAATGGGGAAGACCGAAGTCTCAGCGGACTCCAGCCAGTATCGCCGCCATTCCGGCATCAGGCGCACGAAGCCCCACAAAATACGCTTGCCGTTGCTGCTAAGAGCTCCAACTGTCAAGAAATGGATTGCCTAACGTTCTGAAAAATAACTTGAAAGTGCAACCATACCGTGTAGGTCACGACATCGAATCCACGAACATTAACATGATCTCGAACGTGAAGACACGGGTGATGATATGTGTCGGGCGTCACGTCACATCACGTACGTGCTTCAATTCTTTTAAGTCATTAGAAGTATCAGAATGGGGCCGCACTTAGTTGTTCCCCTAGATCGTTAAACTGGTTCGTGAAGCTGGCTTCAGTGATCAGTCGCCGGCCCGACGTGTATTGGGGGGACTCATTTCCCAGACCCGTCACCCCTCCGCCTCTTTCGTTATGCTTATCTAAGGGAGGACTCTTTCTTCGCAGGTAGCCCACATACAATAGCTGAGCCCATGCAGTAGAGGAAGACAAGATCCGAGCGATCCACATGACTCGGCGCGTGAAAGTTGTGAACGACTCCTCTCAGCGTATTCGGGTGTGTTTGAAACTCGAAGAAAATGTCCACGGTTTGTTGTAAAAAGAGTCACAAAGTCAGCGCTCGACTCCTTATCGCTATCAAAATGGTGCATCAAGCAAGCGGAGGATTTCAAATGCGTGAAAATCAGATTAAATAGATTAAGTTATCGCTAGTGTCAGGTGTTGGACGAGAGGGGAGGGGCAGCTGTGAAGATCCCTTCCCGCTTCTGTCACAGGGTAGCATTGCCGGTGTCCTCCCGCTTCTGTCACAGGGTAGCATAGCCGGTGTCCTCCCGCTTCTGTCACAGGGTAACATAGCCGGTGTCCTCTTGCGACATAGCCAGTGTCCTCCCGCTTCTGTCACCGGATAACATAGCCGGTGTCCTCCTACGACTTCTCTCTTCTCTAGACTCTGGATCTTTACGCCCTTACGCCTGATTTGCTCGATTTCGCGAGGCCTTGCGGTAAATGAGAACATGCACAATTTGGGAAGATTTAGCGTTCAACATAAACGTTTGTAAATAGCCTCATGTCTACAACGCCACCAAGATGGAAACCTTTTCACCCACATCCTGCGCGGGTGCGTCACTTTACGTACGACCTTTAAGCCCAAGCCTCAATAAATTCATGCTTTCAAATTAGACTTAAGATTATGTAAAATATAGCTCCAAAATGTCTAGATAGCCTTTTGAACCCCACAATTGTTCTTCAGTGACAATCCTGGACGCCCAGCATGCGGCCTACTGTGGGATACGAAACAAGCGATCTGAGCCGGTGGCCGGGCGACCTCCCGCCTGGTTTGCCTCAACTTGCGACTGCCCTCTAGGCGGACTGTACGCCCAGCTGACCAGATGGCGCGCTGCTCGCTGCAGATGGCGCGCCACGACGACACTTGGCTGACATGGGCAGCTCGCTGGTCAGCTGAGCCACAGCAAGAATGCGCGGCAGTCGTCCCTCTTGTGTGAAGCTGGACCACTATTTCCAGCCCGTGTGTGCAGCCAAATAATGCAATGGTCCACTCAGCACATGGTACGCTGTTCCCTCGCTGGTTCGGCTATCAGTGGCCTTTCCGGTGAACTACGACAAAATGGATCCTGGCCGTTATTGAGGCATATTCTGCTCACAGCCCCTTGAAACATCAAGCCTTACGCATCCAATCCAGTTTGGCCGGAGGCTGGCCCGAACCTGTGGTTTTCATCTCTACGGTCTGGTACGCCCAGGCGCGACACTGGTTGAAGATATCGAAACCGGAACAGAGTATTTCAACATGACGTGGTAAGCGTAAATCAGCCCAGCCTGGTCAGCGTGCAAACCGGCTCCAGCGTCTGCATCAAAGTCCAGCCACGTCAACAAATAGTTTATGACATCGAAGTACCGCGCCAAGTTGCAAAACCGTTCCAATAAATGCGCTTTTTTAGTCACGACCATATTCGAGATGTCCGAGGACGTAAAACGGCATTCAGCTGCGCCGCCGGTAAGGTTAGATGTTGGGCTTGTAGCAGGACAGACTCGGCTTGCAGGCGACGCCGCTGAAGTTGTCGTTGCAGCCTAGCCTCTCGTCGACGCAGAGCCAGGGACAGTTGTGGCAGGTTGGCGAGTCGTCTGGAAAGCGAGCACGGGCGATGACAGGCTGATGTCAGACAAAGGCTGCTGACTTCACCGCATGTAGCGCTGAACTCGACTGGGCATGGTTTGACACCTTTACCATGTTTGACATCTTTACCGTTTAAGATGCTTCCACCGACAATGCATTTGCGCTGGGGGCACTTATGTCGCACTAGGACACAGGTAGCACAACTCGACATGCCGAAAATGTTTTCTACAACCATCGACGGATAACTGGCCTTGCAAGCATACTCCAAACCTGCGCACTGATGGGATGCTAGCAGATTTTGCCACACATCCATTCTACTAGTTTTTGCAGATCATAGCATGCTTGGGAATGTTCAAAAACCACGCCCTGGCGACTTAAAGAACTGCTCCGCAAATGCATCGTGGCGATCAAAAGTGTCTGTATCAGGATTAGAGGATATCTCGGTTACGTCAATTTTCAGACTCAGTGGCGTTCTCCGTTGATACGACGACCCACATACGGCTTATTATTCACATGTAACGCTTCTGCGGCCGTAACTGGCTGCTGCTGCGGAGCACAGCGATAGGGTATCAGAAACAATGCGGGAATCTAAGGACAATACGAGGCACAGAAAGCAACGGAAACAACCACGATCACTCGCAGAGGACATCTCATTCTGGCGGAGTTTTACCAGCCGCCACGGATCTTAAGGCAGAGACGGGAGACCTTTGTCTGCTGACGGAGGGTGGGACCACCACGTGCCAAAGCCAGCTGCCGAATGCCACGGCCACGTGACATAAACACGCGGCGCTTAGCCCGGAGGGGAGGTGCGCAGT